TGAGGCACATGAAAGGACTATAAACACTGATGTGTTATTTGGTTTGCTTAAAAGTAAGTTTTAATGTGCTTTATTTTGTTTAATATTTAACTTTTTATATAATCACATTTAATTGACCAATTGACCTAATTTTAAAAATGTAGAAACTCTTAAAAACCGACCAGAACTTAGAGTAATTGTTACTTCAGCTACATTGAATGCAGAAAAATTCTCAAAATATTTCTATAATTGTATGATTTTCACTATTCCTGGCCAAAACTTCCCGGTAGAGGTTCTCTATACTAAGGAACCAGAATCCGATTATTTAGATGCTGCATTGATTACTGTTATGCAGATTCACCTTTCAGAACCACCAGGTGATATTCTTCTTTTTTTGACTGGTCAGGAAGAAATTGATACAGCGTGCGAAATTCTTTATGAGCGTATGAAAGCACTTGGGCCACAAGTTCCGGATCTAGTGATATTGCCAGTGTATTCCGCTTTACCAAGTGAAATGCAATCCCGTATTTTTGAACCCGCACCTCCTGGTAGTCGTAAAGTAGTTATAGCGACAAATATAGCAGAAACCTCAATCACCATTGATGGCATCTACTATGTCGTAGATCCTGGTTTTGTAAAACAAAATGCATATGATGCTAAAGTTGGAATGGATTCTCTTATTGTGACTGTAAGTATTTCATAAATTAAAAAGTCGTAGAATTCTTAGTTCCTTTATTAACTTTATTTTCTTAGCCTATCTCTCAAGCGCAAGCAAGGCAGCGTTCTGGTCGTGCGGGTCGTACAGGACCCGGAAAGTATGTTTATATAATCGTAAATAATAAATAACATTATTATTTTTTTCAACTATATTAAGACACATTTAATACTATTTAGATGTTATCGTCTTTATACGGAGGCTGCATATAGAAATGAAATGCTTCCAAATCCGGTACCCGAAATTCAGCGAACAAATCTTGCCCATACTGTATTAACACTCAAGGCTATGGGCATTAACGACTTATTACATTTTGATTTCATGGACCCTCCACCAGTTCAAACACTTCTTACTGCTTTAGAACAGCTTTATGCTCTCTCCGCCTTGGATGATGAAGGCTTGTTGACAAGATTGGGTCGTAAAATGGCTGAATTTCCTTTGGAACCACCACTCTCAAAGATGCTGATTCTCGCAGTTGATCTTGGTTGTTCTGACGAGATTCTCACAATAGTTGCAATGCTCTCTGTTCAAAACGTCTTTTACAGGCCTAAAGAAAAGCAAGCCATCGCTGACCAAAAGAAAGCAAAATTTCATCAACCAGAAGGAGATCATCTGACTCTTTTAACTGTCTATAATGCATGGAAAGCTAGCAAATTCTCAAATGCTTGGTGTTTTGAAAATTTCATTCAAGGGCGAAGCATGAAACGATGCCAAGATATTCGCAAACAATTGTTGGGTATCATGGATCGATATAAACAAGATATTATTTCATGTGGCAGAAATTATAACAAAGTTCGTAGAGCAATTTGTGGTGGATTTTTCCGTCACGCGGCAAAAAAGGATCCTCAGGAAGGTTACAAGACGTTAGTTGAAGGAACTCCTGTGTATATACATCCTTCCAGTGCATTATTTAATAAGGGACCAGAATGGTATTTATTTATTACTTCGTTGATTTAATTTTCGAAAATTTCACAAATAAATCACTTATTTTAATTCATTAGGGTTATATATCATGAACTAGTGATGACCACTAAAGAATATATGAGAGAAATCACAGCTATCGAACCTAAGTGGCTTACCGAAGCTGCACCCACATTCTTCAAGGTTGCAGACGCAAATACAATCAGTAAACGTAAACGAGGTGAAAAGATTCAGCCATTATACAATAAATACGAGAAACCAAATGAATGGAGATTAAGCCGAGTCAAAAGACATCAAAGAGTTTCGCAAACATTTGGATAAGGTTAGGGATGGTAAAGTTATTAGTTTAGATTTGATTTGGGTTCTAAACCCTTTGGGCTTCAAATTAAAAATCCAAGAACCAGATTTTTATATAATAAGCTCCAAACCTAAATTAAACCCGGTTTGGTTCGGGCAAAATTTTAAAACCTGGTTCTCAATATTTTGTAAGATATAAAAATAAAAATATATTAATAAACTTTTAGAATATGTACAGTTCACTCTCACTATAGCAGATTGATCGGCTGGAAAATGTCGTCTGGTATAATGAATATCCGCTATAGCATTATATATCATAAAATTTTAAATTGTTCTTGAGACTCATTCCGCTATAGCGTTTAAAGGGATCGCTATAACGAGGGTAAACTGTATATTTTGACTTCTGAATAACTGTTTAATATGCTAATATTGATTTATTTAATAAAATTGTCTTTTCTATGTAGTATATAATTAACAAAAATATATTATGTATATATTATTTAAAAAATTTAGTCTATCTGTGCGATCGATTTACTAATCCGTAAGATTTGGAGAAACAAAAATTCAGCAGATCGGCCCGAATTATGGGTCGGATTTAGGCCGGCATTAAGAAATAACAACTAACTAACGCTAACTGTATAGCGATCAAGTATCACCAGTCAAAGAAACTAATAAAAAAATTTCGCTAAGAAAAGAAGTTTCGCAGTTAGATTAGGGTTAGGGTCTTGCTAAAAGTTGGGTTTAGAAGGTTATAGTTATACCAATATTTCGCAAGGAAAACTTTTTGTTAGTGCGCAGAAGGCAGTTTCATAGACTAAATTTTGAGTTATGAGCGATTTTTGACAAAACGAACGTTTGTTTTGAATTTT